AATGTCCTACCGTGGTTGGTGGGATCAGAAACTATTCCCAGCCTTGCGTGAGCTCCGCGTATTGTTCCCTTTAATCCTTTCAGGTGGTTCTTTCCCAGCCTGGGTGTTGTTTGCTCATGTGCACGTGCGGATCAGCACCTAGATGAAGACCGAGGGTGCCCTCTGCAAGTCCCAGGGTGCCTTCTGCACAGCCCTCTGCTCTCCCGGGCCGCGTCCTTCGCTGTCCAGCCACACTGGTGTCCCTCCTTCCCAGCTCTGCCTCCCGAACTTGAAGAGGTCGCTGCACTCTCTCTGCTCAGCTCTTCCTGTGCCGTGGCCTGGAAACTTTCTCCGGCACTCAGCCGGGCAGTGGTAGGACTCCCTCATCTCTTTCCCACCTCATGGGGATCGCTGTCCTTCACGACCTGATGTCCAACGTCTGGGGATTCATTGTCATACGTATTTTGAGTGTTTCTTGAGTTGTTTCAGGTATGAGAGTAAAGTTAATCCTTGCTAACTCAATCTTGGCCAGAAGGGGGAGTCCTTTAGGTTTTTACTCATACACACACTGTGTGTTTATATGTGTGTATATATAAACACAATGATACAGGAATATTTTATATACATGTACATACACATTATAATATACATGGAAGGGTTTGATTGAGAAGTCTTCCTCTGTGCCCCGTCCATGCACTCCGCACCTGCCCAGACCCAGGGTCGATCAGTCTGGCGCGGTTTCCCGCGTGTCTCCCGAGAAGGGTTAGTGCACATACAATCCTACATCTGTCTACACTAGTGGCGTCACACTGTTCTCACTGCTCTATACCTTGGTTTCGTCACTTCATGTATCAGCAACACAGGTCTGACTGGGTGTTTTTGTTTTTGTTTTTGAGACAGGATCTCTCTCTGTCACCTGTGCTAGAGCGCAGTGGTGTCATCATAGCTCACTGCAACCTCAAATGCCTCGGCTCAAGTGACCCTCCTGCCTTAGCCTCCCGAGTAGCTGGGACTACAGGTGTACGCCACCATGCTCGGCTGATTTTTCTATTTTTTTGTGCTCAAGCTGGTCTCAAACTCCTGGCCTCAAGTGATCCTCCCGCCTCGGCCTCCCAGAGTGCTGGGATCACAGGCGTGAGCCACGCTGCCCCGCCGTGACTTACTCTTTCTATGCTGGAGAGTAGGCCGTAGGATGAGTGTTCTGTATTTTATTTAGCTGCCCCTCGCTCAGGGATATTTTGTTAGTTCCACTTTCTTCACTGACACAATCAACACAGCAATGAACACACTTCTGCGTGCGTTTTAGTACACACATGTGCATGTATCTGCAGGTAGATTTCCAGAAAAATGACTGGATCACTGGATGCCAGCCAGGGGCCAGTGCTCTAAGCACCAAAAAGATTCCTTCTGAAAATCAAAGTGGAAAGGGCAAAGGTGACAGGAGTCCTGCCTGCCACCAGGGGCGCCACAGCAATGCTGCTGGCTTGAGTCGATCTGATGACGCGTGTCTCTGAGATTCTCTCTTCCTGTCCTCCCCCACTCCCGCCTTCTTCACTGGCTTATAATTTACCTGGTGCTCACGGGGACCTGGGCTGGCTGGCTGCTCGGGGTCTGCTTAGAGGATGCTGAGTGCAGGGTGGAGGCCCCCCTGTGTCGCAGGCTCAAAACCCAGGAGACGCGGTCGTCGTGGCTATCACCACCCACCTTCTCTCCCAGGCTCCCAGGAAATGCTTCTCCAAACACAGACCAGTCCCCCGGAGTCAAACGCCAGCAAGTTAAACGTCCACCATCTCATTGCACGATTCTCAGGGAGCGGTTTCCCATCTGCCCCAGCCCAAGGTCAGGGATTGTGTCTCATCGTCTTTCTGTGCCTTTATTCCTGGCTGTGCTCACGCCTGATCTCACACGCGCACGCGAACGAGCACACACGCGCTCTCACGTCTTCACACACCTCCACTCTCACACTCACACTCACACGTGCACTTATCCGCACGCTTACCCAAATTCGCTCACTCGTTCTTCTACCAAGTCACACGCTCACTTACACGCACGCGTGCACACACGCACTTGCAGTCACGCCCATTCTCCCGCAGTCTTACACACACACACACACACACACACACACTGCTGGCACATCCCCTGGCCCAAGGTGAGGGCTCAGTGAAGGTCAGTTCTGTCGAGAAAACCACACGAACACCCAGCAATTCGTCTTCCCTTAGCAACACCTTTAAGCAGATCCGCGTTTGGGATTAGCAATACGCCCTCGTGGCTCTAAACACAAAGTGCACACAGAGCGCGCCCGCACAGTCTCCCTCCCGTCCTGTGCCGGCTCCGCCCTCCTGTGAGGTCCTCCCAGCCCCGCGTGGGCCTCTGCAAGCAAACGCCGTGCCCCACCCCGTTTTCACCCGAGGGCCAGTGTGTTGGGATGCTTGTCTCTCCCTGCACGGCCTTGTGGTCACCCCTCTGTCTACACAGTTAATACGCAGCGGCACACACCAGTTTTCCAGCCCTGCGCTGCCCAGTACAATAGCCACCGGCCACATGGTGGCTGTTTCAATGAATTAAAATTAAATAAAATTCAAAATTCCATGACTCGGTTGACTAACCACGTTTGAAGCACTCAGGAGCCACACGGGGCCGGTGGCTACCATATCACACCGTGCAGGTAGATCAGCACGCTTCCATCCCTGTGGAAAGTTCTGTTGGACAGCACTGGGTTGGCCGTCACCGAAGACATCTCAGTGCTTTCCCTCCGCAGACAGGCGGGTTTCGCATCAGATTCACGGATGCGGAGTGGTCGCTTTGGAAGGGGCCGGAGCCTGTGGAGCTCAGGCAGCCGCCTCAAAACAGGTTGTACAGGTTCCAGGTGGAGATGGCAGTAGAACAGGGCCCGGGCAACCTTGAACCTGGAGTGTCTGCAGTGCAGGAGGCCAAGTGGGCGCAGAGGATCGGGAACCCCAGTCGTGGGGACAGGGAGGTCTCCCTTCTCCCTCTCATCCACGCTCCTCCACTGTCCACAGAGGCTGCCTTCTGCCAGCCACCGCCATTTCAGAAAGAGAACTCATTTTCCGTTAACTTGGTTTAAGAGCGTTTGAAAACAATCTTTTAGCAACGGACGAGGGGTCTCTAGGCAGTGGCATGCCTAGTGTATTTGACACCTGGAGATCGTTTTCGTAAACACCTTCCTCCTCTATACAACATTTTCAGTAATAGTTGCATTTGGGGTTAGTTTCTTAGTTTTGATACAATTAACAGATAAAAGGAGAACACGTTTCCATTTTCAAGACACTGTTTGACTTCAGTAAAAGATTTCATATAAGAACTAAAATTTTCACTTTCTAAACAAACAGTTATACCATGCAGGTTGCATCTGCTTCACTGTTTGACCCCGACATAGATTCTTGTCTTTCTTAACAGCATGAAAAAATGCACGTGGGTTACACACACACACACACACACACACACACACACACATGCCTACATATGCATGTAAGTACGTGTAATATTTTGTCAAAATGTAGGTATATTAATATGCAAAGTCAAATATCAGGAATTTGAGATTCCTTCCTTGCAGGAGCCCAGCTTGCTTAAGAAAATCAGGCCAGAGCCTCGACAGTCAGACAGGTTAGTGCCTGTGGTGACAGTTTCACTTTGCTGGTGGCAGACCTTCGGTGGGGTTTGTCCTCGCACAACTCCCCACAGCATTCAAGCCAGCGGCCTGGAGCCCAGATGAATGAGGCAGGCCCTGGACACTCCCTGCCGGCAGAGAGCTGCCTACCCTGGAAGTCACCAAGGGACATTTTTTGGTCCCTCTTCATGCTTTTCTAATAGGTTGGCCATGAAAATAAAATTAAGTACATGTAAAGCACAAGTATACAGAAGGTGCTTAATAAATGTTATTTCTCTTCACCCTCTCCACCTCAGTCCTCCCATTCCCACTCCTAGTTTTAGGCAACTGGGGAGAAAACTGCCATCGAACAGCATTTCCCACTAACAAGGACCATTAGGAGTTAGATTCTTCTTCCCCGGTGAGCGCCGGGCAGTCCTCTCGCCTAAGACCTCGCTATTTTGTTGCCACCTTCATAGCCAAAGGAGGGGGGAGTTTCTTGGTGCAATAAAAATATTGTCATAGAATACAGAATTGAATAATTTTTCTGGAACAATAATAAAGCTCTCGTTTCAGATTCCCGTTCATTCATTCCTTCGTGCACTGGACGCCAGGGACCTCGTGGTGAGCAAAGCAGACGTGGTCTCCGCCTCTGGGGCTCCAGATCCCTCCCTCCATCTTTTTAAAGTCAAGTTTATTGAAGTATAATCTATGGACAGTAATCTATGCACTCTTTTTAGTGGAAAGTTCTAGGGGTGTTGACAAATACGTATAGTTGTGTGGCCTCCACCACAGGACAGTGCTGTCATCCCCTCTCCAGTTTTCTCGTGACCCTTTGTAGACAGCCCTGCCCCCACCTCCAGCCCCCGGCAACCCCGGCTCTGTCCTCTGTCCACAGGGACTTGTTTTTCCAGAGTTTTTCCAGGTGGAATCACACGGGACGTCATCTTTGGGCCTAGCTGCTGCCACGTAGCTTAATGCATTGGAGATTCACTCGTGCGGTTGTGAGTGGTACTGCTGAGCAGTGTTTTGTGGTACGGATGGAACATTTTGCATCACCTTGGGGACAAAGTAAGAAAGAAAACTACCCACCTTGACCAAATGGGCCCAGAGCTAACTGAGTCTACCGGATGGACTACGTTAGCTTTTCTCCCGTAGGACCAGTTAGGTCCAGCGAGGCAACTCGGCTGTCGCAGAAAGATAAAGTGCCACTTCCTGCATCCCGAATCTGTGGGTTGTGAAACTCGTATTCGTTTGTTGATTTTTACTTTTGTACTTTTTTTTTTTTAATTTGGACAATGTGGCCCCAGCTGGCCTGTAAGTCAACAAGGGCCCTGCTAAAAGTCCCTCTCTCCCCAGGCTTTGTGACACAGGTGCTGAGTCATAGAGGTCCTGCTAGTCCCCAAGAGAAGCCCTTTCCCCCTTCCTGGTGATGCCTTTGCCCCCTTGGGTAGAGTTTTGCCCAAGTGGGGCCCATAGGGGAGGATGGAGTTTCTTGGGACCCCTCAGACCGCCAGTTACTGTGGCCCAAAGAAAACCTGTGGCTTCACCACGCGGCCCCGGGCTGCGCAGTCCCCTGCAGCCCACGAGTGCTACCAGCCCTATTACCTGCCCGGGTGCCGCTACGCCAACTCGTGGAGGCCCAGCCTCTTCCACAGGATCTCCGATGCCCACACCTGCCAGGAAGAGTGTCCCAGCACCCTGCGGCCGTCCACCATCCTGCCTGCCCTCCGCTCTGCGCTCCTCTGCCGCTACACCCCCAAGGACTGGGACCGGTCCAACCAGCTGCAGCTCCTCGGGGCTGAGGCCTCCCGGCTGTGGGCTGGCCGGCTGGGGGGCGACTCCATGCGGCTCATGCAGGACAAGGACCAGCTGACACGCCAGATGCAGGAGGGCACCTCCCGGAACCTGGGCCAGAGGCTGTCGGACATCGGCTTCTGGAAGTCAGAGCTGAGCTACGAGCTGGAGAGGCTCGTGACTGAGAACCACAATATGGACATGATAAAGAAGCGGCTGGAGTGCGCGATGGACCAGATAAACTGCCCGCTGCAGGTGAGCACCAGAGCGGGGACAGAGCTGTGGCCGCTGCCGCAGTGTGGGCGCCCTGCTCACACTCCCCTGCTCTTGGCTTAAGGTCAAGGTGACAGGCACCTTGCAAATCAGTTTGAGCTGCATCGTGTTATACGATCGGTTTCTAAGGTAAAAATATAATCTTAGTCAATTCAGGATAATCCCACAAATCAGGTTGAATTTTATTCTCTGCTCGGGGTTGCATCAGAGTTGCAGGGGTCTCATTAAGACATGTGCATGCGTGTGCATGTATGAGCATGCATGTGTGTGTGTGCTCGACACCAGAGAACACAAAAAAAAACCGCTATACTCCTCTATAAGACACATACACAAAAACACACTACAATAGAGAGAGAGAGAGAGAGGGGTTTTTTTTTTCGCCACTAGAATCCGGGCTCCATCAGGGCAGAGACTTTTGTCCACTTTGTCACCGACCTATCTAAGACCGGTACTCAGCTGCAGGGCACGCCTATGTCTGTGTAGGTGTTTAGTGACCAATGTCTGTGCTGACGACTGTTGTCTAGACCAACGTTTTGAATGTATTCCCAGCTTAGGACAGGGCAAGGCACATAGTAGGCACTCAGTAAGTATTCGTTGAATGATAAATGGATAACTCTCTAAATGTGGATATTGCTGACACTCCCTTGGTCTCCAAGTCTCCAGGCACACCCCAGATCAGTCAGGATTGCTGCGGCTGCAGGTGGCAGATGATCAGTGAGCAGCTCAGCCAAATGGGGCTTATTTTTCTGCCATCACAAAAATTCGAGGGGGAGACAGATCGGGCTGCTGCAGCCTCCGCTCGATGCCGGGAGGAGCCAGGCTCTTCTCCTTCTGCTCTGCCGCCCACAGCACGTGGCTTCTGTCCTGTGGTTTGGGCTGACAAGGAGGTTTCATATTTCACAGTGCACACGCCTGCGGCACGTGGAGCCTTTGCTCAGCCCAGGCAGGCAGGTGGGGGCAGGGCAGAGAGCAAACACGTTAGCTGGGTCTGTCCGTTTTTATCAGGGAATATCTGTTTTTCCAGAAGGTCCACCATGTGTTTCTGTTTTTAGCCCCTTTGCCAGGACTCGTGTTTCCCGTGGAAGGGGTTGAGCAGACAGTGTGTGAGGAACCAGCAGCGTCTATGCGAACTCATCTTGGCCACCCAGGACAATGTGCCACTGCTCCCTGGAGCGTGCAGGGGACTAGGGACCTCCTGCCTGGAACCCTCCTGCAGCCGTCTCTGCCCCATGCTGGGGGCCGGGGCTTCTGTAGGAGAGGTCCTGCCTCCAGATGCCCCTGGGAGACGTGGCATAGGTTCCCGCCACTCCGGGATTTCCAAGCCCATGTGGGGGAGGAGGGGTCCACTGTTTCCTTCCCCCCCCACCCCCAGATTTTCCCTTGGGAGGAGGGAGGGGAGAGCTGCATCCCGAATCTATTGCTCTCCCCCGACACTCTCTTCTCACTGCCTGGCCTGTCTGGAAATCTATTGCTCTCCCCCGACACTCTCTTCTCGCTGCCTGGCCTGTCTGGAAAGCCCGGCTCTGCCTGGTCACCTGAGGCCTCCTCTGATCTGACATGTGGTGGAGCAGGGACCAGAGACATCTCAAGTTTGTCTCCTGGGCTGTCCCCTCAGTCCAGGCAGCTTCTCCCTGGATAATGGCGACCCCTCCTTCCTGGTCTCCCAACTCCTACTCCTGCTGACCCATCCTCAACACAGCAGCTAGAGGGGTGATTTTAAATATTAAACTCTCCCACTGGCTCCCTCGATGGCCTCCCAGAAATTAACATCTTAATTCCTAAATTCCTCTGCCCCTCCCCAACCCTGTCCCTGCTACTGCTCCAGCCTCACCTTCTCCACCCCAGCCTGTGGCTTCCTGTCTGTTACTCTGCCGACCTCAGGGCCTTTGCACCTGCTGTTCCCTCTTCTTGGTGCACTGTTCCCGCTCACCTCTGCATCTCTGCTTCTCATGATTCAGGTCTCAGTATGTCTCCTCCCTAGCCACCCTGCGGGTCACTCTCCATCCACCCACTCACATCTCCCTGATTATTTTCCTTGCAGCCCTTGTCACAGTCAAGATGATCAAGTTTCTTTTTGTGTGTTCTGTCCCCTCTGTTGGCTGCATGGGAGCAGGGACCCTGTCTGTCTAGTTCACTGTGCTGCCTCCAGCACCCCAAAGGAGTGTGGCTCAGAGAAGGAGCACTGTACTCCCTCTCCTTTCTGAGTTCCCAGATGCATTTGCACCCCAACATCCAGACCTCAGTGCTCCTACTTCCTTCTCGCTCCCGCTGCCCTTTGTGACATCACAGGCTGGTGGCCAATCACCATTCTTCTTCAGTCTCCCATTGCAGAGCGCCCCCGAGCAGCACCTTCTCTTGTCTTCTTCTCTGCTCTGCTCAGGTCTCTACGACAGCTGGGAGGCCCAAGGCAGTGTGGCAGGGTCACCTGGTCTCACGTGGCCCTGACCACTTCCCAAAGCTGTCCCCCCACTGGGAGATCTCCAAAGAGGGTTTTGCATATATGTTCACAGATCATATTTATGCACAGCGTTCTGAGTGCTTTACACTTGTCAAGCTGACTTTACCTGCAAGATAAACCTATGAGGTATGCACCAATATTGCACCCATCTGCAGATGAAGAAACAGAGGGTCAGAGAGGCTAAGTAATTTGCCTAAGTGCACACAATAGGAAGTGGCTAAGCCTGGGTTTGAACTCAAGAGAGAGGCACAGACAGGACAGCAGCCCATACTGTCTTATCTGAAACGATAATGGAGTTTTAGTCTATTTATCATTATAGTTACGGGAGGCCTGGGGGCCACCGATGGAGGTTATGGGAATCACAGTTGGTTCCCAGGACGCTGCTTTATCTTGCTTTCTCCACGTGGGCCTTGCATCTCCTGATGCATCAGCCAAGGCATCCCACAGCCCCCACTGAGGGGCAAGGGGAGGCAGAAGCCCACCTAATGCACAGCGATGAGGTCCCACACAGCACCAGGTTTCTCAGAGAAAAGAACAGATTGCGGCAAAGGGAGACCTGCGTCATCCCCTCTCAGGGTCTACACACAGGGGGACACGCTCTTTCCCGCTGTTCCCTACAGGTGGCCCTGGAGTGTCTGTACTACCGAGAGAAAAGGATCGGGATTGATCTGGTCCATGACAACGTGGAGAAAAACCTTATCCGGGTAAGGCGCCTGCCGGGTGTGCCCAGTCCCTGAGCGAGGCGGGTGGGCCAGCTGGTTTCTGAGTTGCCCACTGGTAGCAGAAGCCACACGTGTTACCCCGTGGAAAGTTAGGGCTCAGAAAGCAGGGGTGTGGGCCCCGGTTGCAGTTTAGGAATAGGGAGACATGGAGTCATTCGAGCCTCAGTCTTTTCATCTCCAAAATGGGCACAATAGTACTAATACACCAATAATAATCATAAAAGCTAGTGTCTGTTAAGCACCTGCTACATGTCATATGCGGTACCACTTCATATACATTCTTTAATTTAATGAAAAATAATGTAGAAGTGAGCACTTGGCACATAGTAGCTGCTAAATTTTCTTTTAATCTGGAGGTCTGTAAAAAGAAAAGAAAATAGGGCCAAGAGTGTGAAGCCTCCATGATCGACCCTTAGTTGTCTGGCCCTGGGGTCACACGGATTGAGGCAAGAACCCCACCATGAAATTTCACCTTGTGGGGTCAAGGGTGGGCATGAGAGGTGAGGGGTGAGGGCTCTGGGCTGGGAGACAGGATGGTGAGTTTCTAAGGGGCTCCACTCTTTCTGACATTTTTCATTTCAGGAAGTAGATTTGCTAAAATGTTGCCAAGAACGGATGAAAAAATTAGGTCAAAGAATTGATATCCAGATGCGGTAAGGGCATCTTTCTCTCCCCTTTCCTTGGGTTTGTTTTGGGACTCCCAGGTTTCTGGCTGCAAGCCAGGTGGGCTCACTTGTCTCTGGATGGTTCCTTTGGTCAGTGTGCTGGTAAATGCTTAACAACCAGCTCTCAGGGGGGGAAAAAAAAGTCCTGATTTGTAGGATTTGCCCATTCCTGTGGTGTAAATGCTACCACAATGGCTGATTTCAGACTACTAAGATGATGTTACTGGGATGTGCACCATTGACCCACATGAGCCAGCGCATCACTGGTTGCTCTTGTTTGTAATCCTCTGGCGAAAGAGGATTGGCCTTCCTGGGACCCCTCTTGGGCTGTGGGTTCCCCATGTGAGTTCTGAACCTTGGGAGATGGCATTAGGCAGCAATGCCAGGGGCTGGGACATCTCGGGAAGGGAGCTGGTGGATGCCTTGAGCCAGGAGTCTTCAAAAGAAATCAGCTTTTTGTTCTTAGGTTGTGCAACCTCATGACAAGCCAGGAGGCCCCTCTCATAATTAAAGGGAGGCTCGAGTTTTACGGGGCTTGAGGCTGATAGCTAAACCCTTGGCACCAGCTCCCCCGGAGGCAGCTTCCCACCTCAACCTGCAGCTCCCCTTTAACTCTTCCAGGGCACGCTACCCTGCTGGTTTCCCTCTTCTCTGACTCTTGACACAGATGCAGACAGCATGGGATGGGCTGGCAGCCTGGCCAGGGCTGCCCTTCCTGCCGTGTGGTGGATGTGGGCAGCCTCGTGGACGCGAAGGAGTCAGGCAGCTTCCAGATCGGCTCTGGGAGCTCGAGCTCATGTCCTGGTTTGCTGTGCCCCAGAATCAGCGGTCACCTCCCCCTCCAGGAGCCCTTGGATTCCCGTGAGGGTTCGACCTGGGTGTCAGGGATGAGAACAAATCAGCCAGAATAAAAAGGGGGAAGACATTGCAGAAAAGCTACCCGGACAGCAAAGGGCTCAGTCGGGCAGAGAAGCCGAGGGGACCCAGGGAGTCATTAGAGCTGGAGGGGTGCAAAGGAGGTGCACGTGCAGCGGAGGTGACAGCTAAAAGGACAAGAGCAGTCAGTGTGCCTCTGTCCTGATTTCCCACCATTCCACCTACACCTGGACTGTTGTTACCTGCAGTTTGTCTATAAATTAATGCACTAAAAAACCCTGAAATACTTGCATTTAAACGGGCAAATTTTAACAAAGAGCCAATGCTGTCTAAACAGCATGCTCTTGTTTTATTATAATTTTCTTGCACTTATTTTTTTAAATTTATTCATTTTTAAGTGACTAATAAAAATAGTATATACTGTGTTTATCATGTACAACCTGATATTTTGAACTATGTATACATTGTGGAATGGCTAAATCAAACTAATTAATGTATGCATTACCCCACATCCATATCATTTTTTTGTGGCGAGAACACTTAAAATCTCTCTTAGTGATTTTCGAGAATATAATACACTGTTACTAACTCTAGTCACCATGTTGTACTTGAACTTATTCCTCCTGTCTAAATGACATTTTGTATCCTTTGACTAATATCTCCCCAACCCCCCACGCCCAGCTTCTGCTAACCCCCACTGCTCTCTCTGCTGGTATGAGTTCGATTGTTTCAGATTCTACATGTAAGTGAGATCATGAGATATTTGTCTTTCCGCGCCTGGCTTATTTCACCTAACACAGTGTCCTCCAGGCTCATCCATATTGTTGCAAATGACAGGATTTCCTTCTTTATTAAGGCTGAATAATATTCCATCATGTATATATACCACGTTTTCTTTATCCATTCATCTGGTTTTGGACCCTTGGGTTGATTCCGTATCTTGGCTATTGTAAATAGTTCTACAGTAACTATTTTTTAATTGGGTCATTTGTTTTCTTGCTATTCAGGTGTTTGAGCTTCTTATATAGTTTGGATATTAACCCCTTATCAAACATACGGTTTGCAAATATTTTCTCCCATTTCTTAGGTTGTCTCTCCATTCCGTTGATTGTTTCTTTTGCTGTGCAAAGGCTTTGTGGTTTGATATAATCCCATTTGTCTATTTTTGCTTTTGTTGCCTGTGCTACTGGCGTCATATGCAAAAAAATCATTGCCCAGCCCAATGTCCTGGAGCTTTTCCACTATGTTTCCTTCTAGTAGTTCTACAGTTTCAGGTCTTACGCTTAAGTCTTTGATCTGTTTTGAGTTGGTTTTTGTACGTGGTGTGAGATAAGCATCTAAGTTCACCCTTCTGCATGTGGATTTGCAGTCGTCCCAACACCATCTGTTGAAGAAGCTGTCCTTCCCCGTTGTGTGTTCCCGGCGTCTTGTTGAAAACCGTTGACCGCAAATGCGTGGAGTTACTCCTGGCTCTCTATTCTGCACTTTCTTCCACTTATGTTTGTGATCTCCTGTTTACATCACGAGAGAATGGTTTTCCACTTGGGACTGACCTATGGACGCGGCAAAACACGGCGTTGGGGAGGCTGACGCTTGGGAAGTGGGACAGTTGGAGGTGGCAGAGTGAACAGACCGCAGACTCGAAACGGGGGGCTGGATCCTAGAGGGGAGATCCCGGGACCAGGGGAGGGCGGCTGCTCGTGCGGTCCCAGATAATGAAACAAGACGTGGGGGGAGCTGCAGAGCCAGGGAAACTGAGGCGGACAGAGACCGTCCCAGAGAGAAACAGAGGGACTGGAGGTAGAGCCCCCCTGGAAGAGGCTGTCTGTCCCTGGGCCGCGGCCCATTTGTCAGAGGACGCTGTCCTCTCGTGGGGAGGCAGCTCGTGCTGCTGGAGCTATCGGGCCGGAACCTCATCAGCCGGGCAGCACTTGCTGCGTCCTCACCCCTCGAGGCAGCTCTGCCGCTGACCTGCTCGGGTGGCCGCCCTGCCACGCGGTCTCCTGTGAGGCCTGAGGCCCACGTCTGGGCAGGGCGGTGTCCTCACTGCACCAGGTGCCCCGGCCAAGCAGAAAAGGCAGGTGTGGACAGTGGACAGAGCACCCTCCCGGGAGTCCAGGGGCCTGGCCGGCAGCACCCACCTGCCGTGTGACCTTTGAGAGGGACCCTGGGTGTGCACAATCCAGGGATGGATCCTTCCCTCCGCAGGGATAACCGCCACGCTCAGCACACGCTGGAGAAGGACTTTGAGGACAAAAGCTCAGCCCAGTTTATCGATCAGAAGTGCTTTAACCTGAGAAACACGTCAGAGTGCATCGGCTTCTTCCATGGCGTGGAGAAAGTCGACGGCACGTGAGTATCGGGCTTTGTCCCCGTCCCTGGCTGCTTCCCACTGGAGCGGGAGTTTCCGCTCCTACCAAGGAGCCATGAGGAGGTACCACGCACTGGTCAGGTGAGAGGCGGTGGTTGAAGGAGGATCCTCTGTTGCAAGCAAGTGTAGAATCCAAGTCTAACTTAAGATAAGATGGAATTTACCGGAAGGCTGTGAGGGGAGCACAAACTCAAGGAGAAGCCTGGAGGGGAAGGTTCTGGCAGTTTGAGCGAGCTAGGGCGTGGGAGCTAATCAGCTGTAGCGTCTCCGGCTTTCCGTCCTGGCCCCACTTTGCTCGAGACCCAAATTTCAGGAGGGAGCATGCGGTTGGCTTAGGGAGGGCCACATGGCCACCAGTGCTCAGCAATTCCATCAAACAAATTCTGAAACAGGCCGGGCGTGGTGGCTCACGCCTGTAATCCTAGCACTCTGGGAGGCCGAGGTGGGAGGATCGCTTGAGCTCAGGAGTTCGAGACCAGCTTG